GAGTATATGCATTACTCCAGATGTTTCCCTGTGTCCTTTTGCAGCTAATTCTCCTACCCAAAACTATCCCATGTCCTGGGCACTACAGATCTGCCTTCTGCCACTGCCAATTAGTTTTTAGGCCTTTTTAGGCCTGAAAGATCTTGGTGAGTAATGAGACAAGAGTTCAAAAGGGAGGGATGATTAAATATAGGTGATGGACAGTCTCTGGGAGATGAAGAAGGTATTGGAATATGTACAAGGACTCCGGTGGCATAGGTACCAGACTTGTGTACAAAATGTCAGCTTGGTTAGAACCAGGAAGGTTAGAACCAACTTCCCTATGGGAAATTAGAGATGAACGCTGATATGGGAAAACCAAGATCCCAATCTTCTAAATAGAAGAGATGATAGAGAATATATTACATTCCCATCATTAAAGTTCTATTGGAGGTAAAAAAATTCTTCTATAATTTTTAAGCCCCACATGCAATCTTTTCCACTTGTTTGTTGAAGGAAAATTCCCAATTCTTGTTCTTTTTTCCATCATAATATGAATAGTAAGGACATATGCCACTGCGTTCATGGTGAAAAAGAGAACATAGATGGCTTCGCCATCCCGAGATGGTACACGCACTACATATTGCAAGTCTTCACAATTAAAAAAATATATTATTAGATAAACCTGGACATATTCAATCCTTCATGCTCTTCATTTCAGATGAGAAAATTAAGAATATTCTAAAGCAGGAAATTTGGGCTGTTGAGAGTGTGCAGTGGGTGCTTTCCATAGCAGGATCCTTGAAGGCTAAGCTGTTGGAACTATTGTAATATTAGATAAATAACTAGTGCTAATGATTGTTTCTATTTATTTTCCAAGATCAGCATTTGATTACCCAGAACACAACCAGGCATAGGGGCCCTGTCTTCCCTACCCAGCTATTTCGGTGCCTGTAAGGCTGTGGTCGTGGCCAGGTGTCTTGCCTCCATTTCTTGGCCCAGCACGGCTGCTACTCAGGGAGGTTCTGCCTGACCAAGACCCTGATCTGATCACTACAATTGAAGATTCATCCATATCAAATTTGAATAATCAGAATGAAATGTTCTTTATTAATAAAGGCTACATTGTGATCTTGATTACTCAAAAGTTTCTTGAATTTTTGTTTAGTTGAGACAAAATGGGAAGACCCCTCCCTTTTTTTGGCAGTAAAAACAACCTTTGCTTAAATTTTTGGGTCAACATAATGGATTTCTAAGTTCTTGTTACTTTGTTTTACCAGCTCTAGTTTTTTTCCTGGTTATTGAATGAACTTAGCCATGAACTGAGCTTTTCTCAAGAAATTTTCATTTATGTACCTTCTCATTGTCTTACTGCTGCTTTATAACACCTTTAGTATTTGCTGCTTGTGATACTTTGACAACCACATATTTTCTGGTTATGTTTTCAGTAGTTTCTTTCTTTTGTAGTTCTTATATTTTCTGCTTAATTATATCCTTAGGTGGTCTGTATGTTGAATAATCTACTTTTCCATTTTTTTCTTATTTAAATTTCCACTGTGATATTCTATATATGTACAAAATTAAAATTTTGTTAAACAAGGAACTTTTCTACCTTAAATTTTTAACATGAGCATAATATTCAAGTGCCATGGAGCTCTTTTTTAAAAGTTACCCTGTATCCTCTAATTTGGAATCAAAAATGCTGAAAATTTATTCTGTGGGCTAACTTTTCTTAAATATGAAGTAACCAGACATGTTTACACATGTTAATCTTTATCTTTTCTAGGAGTGGTAAGAAATAAAAGTCAGAGATAAATAGATTTGGCTGAACAGATTAGTAAAATTAGGCTATGTGATATATGATGATGTGAGAGAACCTCTTCTTAATCAGAAATCTCTGGGTGTGATGGACTGATCTAAACAGGTGAGACTGGCAGAAAGCCTGTGGTTTTGCCAGATATATGGCAATTTTAGGAAGTTAGAATTTGGCTGATGGGAAGAAGAGTTGCTGGAAAGTGGGCTAAGGTTGATGTTAGGAAATAGTAAATGAAGGGGGTTAGGGAATTGTAAATGGGAGCTGGATCCTCAAAAAAAAAAATTGCAATCTGAGTTAAGTGCTAAAGGAGCTAAAGGAAGAGAGGAGTTAAGGAAATAAGGCCACAACCGTGGTTATCCTCTTGAATGTTCTGGAAATTGTGGACCACATGGAAAGAGGTGTATGGAGAGCATGGAAGAGAACTGTTGCTACTTTAAAATGTTACCTGGTTACAAGCATTCTACTATTCAAATTCCATCATTGTTTTCTGTTACTCTTTCATGTTTACAATACTTATGTAAAGTCTACAAAAGCACCAATTAACACTTTATTCCACACTAAAGTTTTTAATCTTATTTCTCTGTCCCAATAAAATGGCATGGTCAGTTTTTTGACAGACATATTCCTTTGAAACATTTTTATAGATTGTGTTGAGTGCCAAGATTACTATGGGTGTGCAAATATAAGTTAAGAAAAGTGATTCAAATCTTGTTTTTGCAATGAGTATGTTCAAAGTATCTGGGATGGTATTAAGTAATTTGTATTTAATTAAAAGTAAAAAGTGTCGTAGGTGGAAAATTTGACTAAAATAAAACTCTGAGACCCCAAACACTAACCCAGTTGCAATTTATTTGCAAAGATATGAAAAATTTGACAGTGTTACATTAGGGTCCTAATAGTAAGTAATTTTCACTTCCACTCACACACATACACACATCACACAGGTAACAGGAACTACAAGAAAAAAATTTTGCCTTAGCTACATACATAATTATAGTCTGCATCAACTCAATAGCTTCTCATAACTGACCATGTGTAGTCAGATACTTAGAGAAATAGATCTTCTAATATTATAACAATATCACTTCTGAGTAACATTCAGATAGATGAATATCAGCTGAGCTAGAATGTTTTCTCATTAATCCAAAAGCTATGAACTGTTTAGTAATTAGCTCTTGGCCACGTAGTGCTCAACATCTGTTCTCTTTATGGTTTCTAATGAAATAAGGAAGAATAATATTGTCTTCAAAGTAATTATCAACAGTTTCTTAGGCTCAGTCATTGAAGTATTTTGTTTAACATGGGATGAGTCATTGAAATACAGGACAACATTCACTGGAATAGTAAGTAAGGAAATTCTGGTATTAATATGTACTCTGGAACACGGATTTCCATGCTGTCAAGAGATGGTTAGAGCATACTGGGAAAATATGACACTAAGTGGCAAGTTTAAAGAAGCCGTTAAGCCATATTCAGGCCAGGTTCCCACTATGTATGGGAAGTTTAGAGGAAAGCCATTCTTGAGTGATAGAGACTGTAGGGAGTAAATCAATGCAGTTAAGGTTTCCTTTCTATTACCAGCTTCAAATTTATTTTTCAAAATCCAAACTTATCTTTTATGACTCAACTACATCCTGTCACTTACATGAAGAAGTATTTGATTATTACAATACAAAGATATGGCTCCTATCAACTCCTTAGTATTTATTGCCTCTACACATTCACACTCTCTTAAAATCATACTTTTTCCCCTCATTTTTTAGAATTGTGGTAAAATACACATAACATAAAATTATCATCTTAACCATTTTAAAGTGTACAGCTCAGTGGTATTATGTACATTGGTATCGTTGTGCAGCCATCACCACCATCCATCCCCAGAACTCTTTGCATTTTATAAAACTGACACTCTATATCCATTAAACAGTTACCCTCTGTTGGCCTTTCATGCTTGCTTTTTATAAGGTATGAACGATTTCCTGTTAGTCTTATCGTTCGGACTATACTGCAAGCCTCCTGTGGGACCCAGCCATGTGTTACGTGTGCAGCATACACATACGGACCTGAGCCTTGCAGGCTAACAGTCATGGATGATTCTTATTTTTCAGTGAAGGACTGAAAGCCTCTAAGCCTGTGGCCAGGCCTTCCCCGCATCCTGCTCGATCCAGGTGAAAACCACCTGAGCTATCTAGAGCATGTGCAGGATAGATTTATTTGCCCCCTCGTTGACCCTTTTGATGCCCAGGGACAAAAATTCTCCAGGGAATGGAACTAATAATGCTGTCTCAGGGAATTGGGAATGAGATGCTGAGGCAAGGGTGCCATTAATTGTTGCAACCTGAACATAAAATAAACAGGAACAGAAGAAAACATGTCCCAAGTCAGCATGCAGCTGATACATAAAACCTGGCCACCATGGGGATCACAAGATGTGGAAATCACTGTGGGACCTAGAAACCTGAGTAGGGCTGTCCCATTCTTCAGACAAGCCCACCTTACCACCTCCTTAAAAAGCCTCTCTTTCTGATGAGCAGAGAGATTTGAGCTAGCCTCCTGTGTCATTGTTCTGCAGTCTTGCAGTAAAGGTCTTTCCTTTCGCGAAAGCCGCTGTCCCGTATATTTGGCTTCCCACGCGCATGGGACAGCGACCCTTGTTCGGTCCCTCATAGGGTTCCTCAAAGGGCACTTAGTATCCGGCACTGTTCTAAGCGCTGTGCAAACATGAACTCACACAATGTTTCACCTTTGTGTGTTTCACAGGGTCCATCCAGCACCTGCTTTTCAAGTGGGACACAAAATATTTGTGGAATGAATTTCTGTAACACTTAAGCATTTCCAAGTGACTCTCTTGCTGTTCTGGTTGCAAAGTTACAAAAGGCGGGTTACCCGGGGGAAACGACTTCAGGCATAATCTGACATCAAGTGGCAAGTTTCAAAAAGCCCTTAAGCCATATTTAGGCCAGGTTCCCATTACGGAAGGCTTAGAGGGAAGCCATTCTTGAGTGATAGAGACTCTAGGGAGGGAGTCAATACAATTAACGTTTTTCTTTCTACAGACACCGGCGATCAGCTCCGAGGAGACTTCGGAAAAGGGACGGCGCCGCGGCTGGACTGCCCGGGACAGGTCCTCCCGGGGATGGGAGGGGCGTGGCCTCCGGGGGCGTGGCCCGGCGGCGGGGCGGGGCGAAGAGGGGCCAGCCGGGGCGGGGCGCGCTAAGTGCACCGGGCGGCGATGGCGGCGGACGGGGACTGGCAGGATTTCTATGAGTTTCAGGAGCCGGCCCGGAGCCTCCAGGACCAGGAGAATTGTAACGCGAGCCCCGAGGCCGGGGCAGGGCCGGGCGGGGGAGGCGACGGCTTCCCAGCGCTGGCCTGCAGCTTGGAGGAGAAGCTGAGCCTGTGTTTTCGCCCCGCGGGTCCGGGAGCCGAGCCCCCGAGGGCGGCCGTGCGGCCCATCACCGAGCGCAGTCTCCTGCAGGGGGACGAGTGAGTGGGGGCCCTGGGCGGGAGCGGGCGGGAGCCTCCCCTGCGCCCCGCCCTGCCCGCCGGCCCCCGGTCCGCTGTCTCGGCGGGACTCCGGCCGCAGGCTCCTCCCCGTGCCCTCCTTCCGCCTCCAGCGCCCCGGGAGTCCCCACCCCTCCGCGCGCTCCACCTCCCTCCCGCGGCTCTCGGCTTGGGGCGCTAGGCGGTTTAAATCGCCGGCTCCCCGCCCCCTCAGGCTCCTGTAAGCCTCGGCCACTGCCCTCCTTCTCCTTCCTGGAAACCAACCCCTGTTTGGTTTAGAGGGGATTCTCCAGTGCAGAACCCGCAGTTTGAGACACTACCTCCTCGGGCACCTGTGTAGCTATTCATTCTTCAACCTGCATTTATTTAAGCTCCCTAACCGCCAGAGGCTGCTTCTCACTGGCAATACCATGATGTTTGGATATTGCCCCTCACAAGTAGGGCACAACCTAGTATGGGAGCTAGATTTGTAAACAAATATTTATATGGGTGTGACAAATGCTCTAATGGGCATAGGTGCAAAACAGGAGATTTGTAACGGTGTGTATGTATGTGAGTCTGGAAAGACTTCATAGGGAGAGAAATGTGACAACGATCCTGATGGGTGAGTGGGAGTTTGCCTCGCGGGTGAGGAAAGATTTAGCATTATAGCTCGAGGATATAGCATGTGCAAAGGTACCAACGCTGAAGCAGCATTTAGGCACAGGAAATTTGCTGCGTCCACCGGAGAGCCGGAGAGCCGCAGTGGAGTGCAAGCCCTCACAAGAAGGGAAGGCTGTGGTCACTAATGTCAAGGGTTTCCTAGTCTGCTAGAGACCAGTGCACAGACGGGATTATTACAGTCATCTACGTGCATTGATAGGAAATTCACAGGGATTTATCGGAGGAGAGGGAAGGAAGGGGCAGAATTCCTGGGAGCACTTAACTGAACTACCTGAATTCCAGTTATAATTTGGTTAAGTAAAGTTTGTAATTATGTACCATGGTTTTATCCCAAAGATCATAAAAAGGAATGGTGAGTGAGGAACTTGAGCAGATTATATAGGTAGGGGGAGAGGAGCCCCTGGAGAGGCTGAGGGTGGAATTAATGGGGGAAACACTGAGAGCTTGGGAAGGATGGGTTTTCGGAGTAGTGATAGGATGGAGAGATTAGAGGTTATGAAGGAGTTCTTGAGCTAGAGAAGGATCCATGGTCATAGGGCCTTCCTGCCTGATGGTCACCTGTCCTCTGTGAATCAGGAGATTAGGAAAAAGGTAGGAAGCTTCAGAGGAGAGGGTTGGAAATGGGGGCCTATAAACATGGTTTAACAGTGGTGCAGGCCCAGCGGTGCTTGGAGACCATGTTTTCATTGGTACCGCTGTACGGTGTTGTGTTCAGTGTAGTGGGAAGAGTTTATGCCTGGAGTTTATATACACATAAATGCAGTCAGTAGTAAAAGATGACGTTTTTGGAAGTCTTTTCTCAGAGGGGGTAGTTTTATATATATTTATGCAGATTTATACACTCCGAATCACTAGGACTCAGAACATTCTGGATTTTAAAATTGTATTATGCATTTGGGTTTATCAAGAGTAACTCCTTAAAACAGAGGAGTGGTTTGTACACAGATAGTTACAGTTCCCTATTTGCCTGTACTGTCTGGAAAGTAGTTCATTTTAGCCTTTGTTTAAATCTTAGGTTGATATAAAACTTAAAAGATTTTGTACTCTTGATGATGTACTACTACGTTATTAGTAGTGAATGCTGCCGGATTTGGGAACGCATAAGAAATCTTTTTCTTTCCCGGGCTGGGTTGCCATGCTTATTGTCCCCTTTCTATTACATCCATGTAGAGTCTGTCCCTCCCTGCCCCTTTCACTCAAGAGAGTTGAGAATTCTTTCAGTCAGATATTGCCTTTTCTTAGGGCATTTTATTGAACTTCTCTGAGCCCTGCTTTTAGTCTTGGTTAAATATGGATTGTACTTAATCTGCTAAGGTTTTACTTTAGAAGGTTATCCTGCAGGATTCAATGTTAACAGGAGTTTGACCTTGGAAAAGAGCTGTCCTGCCAGTTTATGACTGGTTGTAATACTTTATGATACCGATGAAGGCAGTTCATACCTTGACTGGAGAATTCTAGAAATATGTCAATTTGAAGTCAGCCCAGTCTTTCACTCAAGTTGGCCCTGCATCCTTCCAGCTATAATTGTCCTGACTTTGGTGGACTGGTAATTTCCCTTCACTCTCTTGGAAGGTCCAATCGATCCACAGTCACTTCTGAGTGACTCTGCCACTCCACTTGTCCTTTTATGACAACCTCCTTTAAGAAGGAGCAAACAAGCAGTCCCCAAAACTCCGGCCTGTCTTCATCTACTTGAATATCCTACTTGTGTTCCTGATCAAGGTTGTATTTAGTCACTTTTTCAGTATTTGAAAATCTTTGACCAGGCAACGCACAGACCAGAAACCCAGCATGTTTAGCAACCCAGTGGTGTTGCTTCCTGTTCGAACATGTTGGCATGAGAGGAGATTATGATTCTAACAGAGGGGATGATATGAATGAGCCATGCGTGTGGGTGATTTGCTGGCTGAACCAGCTAGTTTTCTAGAGCTTTTTGGGTTCACGTTTTCATTGAGGCTAATGTGCATTCCAAAGCCAGATGTCATTTTGGGATTTTATGTTTTTGGCAGTTGTGGCCTCACTGCTTCTTTGCTTTAGCACCAGATCCCAATCCATTAAATCAAGTATGTTGCTTCTTTATTTTTAAGCTTGCAGTCTTATTTTTATGACTCTAGTGGTCTTGTTTGTATATCCTAGTAGTTTACACACTTGTGAAAAAACCCCACCCAATTATTTAATGGCTTATTCACAATTAGCTACCTGTTTATAAAATTTAAGGTTTTTTTTTTCTTCTCTTTGTGATATCCCTGTGTGTATCTCTGGCCATTGAGTAGCTTATATGTGTAGTGTTTAACTTGCCCCAATGAAGATTCACCTCATTAATATTTTTGACCTTGTTTATTTCATACAATGTTATGTTTTGTTATGCTGATTCTTACTTTGGTCTGAAATCTGAATTTTGGTCATGAAATTGGAGTTTGCTATCCTTGTCTGGTATGCTTTAGGACTTTCCTCAGTATGACTGATTTGAATTAATGCTTAGAGTAATAAAGCTGGAAGGAATGTCTTGTTATTCTAGTTCAAGCCTCTCATTTGATAGAAGGGCACCTAATACCTAGAGAGGTTAGGGGACATGGGCAAAGACTTGTTTGAGAAAGAATGGAGACCAGTCTGTTCTCTGAATTCTCATCAAGTGCCCTTTTCATTTTACCTGATTGCCTTCCCAGAATGCTGTTTAATAATAAGTAAGGGTAATTGCATTGGCTATAACCTATGTGCATTTCATTGTGAACTCTCTTTCCCCTTTCATTTTATCTGTCTTAGTCCTTAGCCTATTATGTTACAAATTAGGTATTAAACCTGGTCTCACATTGAGACTGAATCCTTCCTTTCTCCAGAAAGGATAAATATTTGGTTAGAGAGAGATAATTCACTCAAGAAGTGATCTATGTGTTTGAAAGTTATAGAAGAAATATAAGCATAAAATACAGTGTATTTACTACCTGTGGGGCTCTGGAAACATTAAACTCCCTGTGCTTTAGCTTCCTCATCTGTAAAATAGGGATAATAATAGTTCTTCATAGTATTGTTTTTGAGGATTAAAAACAATTGAAGTAATATATGTAAATTGCTTAGAACAGTGCCTGGCTCATAGTACAGTGGAAATGTTAGCTGTTGACTTTGGGAGAATTTCTTAAACCACATTATCTTCCCTCAGGACTTCTTGTCAATCTGACAATCTGACTTTCATTTAGTTTATATTTAGGAGGCTGTACTTTGTTGATGTTTTTCTGTGAAACCATAGGTCTTCTAATTTTTTTACTTTGATATTTTTTGTTCTTTCTCTTTGCATTATAGTACTGGGTATTAGTAGACTAAATACAGAGAATGCTAACTTTCACTGACTGTAGTTTTCCTCCTTTTAGGATTTGGAATGCCCTGACAGATAATTATGGAAACGTGATGCCTGTGGCCTGGAAGTCATCCCATACTAGGACCTTGCATTTGCTTACTCTGAACCTCTCAGAGAAAGGGGTAAGTGAGGAAATGAACAAAGAGTTTCTGAATAACTGATTCTGATAATGGAACTAAAAAAAAACCTAGCATCTCTATTCAACACAAAGTCATAAAGTTGCCTCTTGTTTCCAACCATACAGCAACTGGAATGGCCCTCTTGCCATCTTGGCTTCATGACTATCAACTCCCTAGCACATTCCTTCAGTTCTCCCCCAGCATGTACTCACTTTTGAATGTTTAGCTAAATGTCCATTACCGGTGGATGAACACCAGTGATCAGCAGTTTTTTTCCAGCTTCAGTAGCACAATTTTGATGTGCTGAGAACACCCAGTGAGAATCCTAGCCTTTGATTTAATGTATTGAGGGTACTGGGATATCCACATAGAGTTCACTTTCTGATGACTTTAATGATTGCTGGACATGTTTTCTGAAGACTGTGTGTCACTGTGAATACTGGAGAGCCCTTACAGTTCTTAGCTGACTGAGGCTGCCCTTTGAGCCTTGGTATTGTAGAGGGAAGATGCCTTGATTAAGAAATGTGAGCACAGGTGACAGAGGACAGTTGTGGGGACAAAAGGGAAGAGAATAGCGTTAAGTGGAAAATCAGTGCTCTGTGCCTAAAGCTGATGAGAAATGTAGCCAAACTATGTAAGTTTGCAGACCCGTTTCAAGTTCCTTACCAGATAACCAAGTAAATTCATGCCAGATCTCTCTGCATGCTCTGTTTCATTAAGTGCATTTGTGTAATTGAGAGTAGCTATGTGCAGTAGGGCTGTCAGTGTTTTAAGTAGCATTATTAATGTTTTGTGAACATGATTTTCTTAAATACGTGATCCAGACAAGCCTGCTGCCTACTGTTTTCTAGTTAAAAAAATAGTTCTGACTGTATTTCTCAGTATTCTCTGAAATGTAGAAATCTTACTCTCTGGTCTAGCTGTTTTGTGGGCTGACCTGGCATACTGTTAGTGAAAAGGAATGAAACAAAATATCTTGTGCTCTATCTTCTGTTTATTTAGATCCTAGCTGTCATTTTGGATTTAGTTCAATTTTCCCTTCCTCTCTGAAGCATCCAATGGCTGTTTTAGCCTTTGCTGGTCTCATGGAATTATATAATTTTAGATTTGGAAGGGACTTTAAAGGACACTTAATCCAACCTCTCACTTGGGGGAAATCCCCGTCTACAGCATCTCTGACAGATGGTCATTTAGCCATGGCCTAAATCCCTGCATGGAAGGGAAATGCACTCCTCTCTGTGGGAATCAGTTACACTTGTGGAGATGTGAAAATCTTAAGGGACTTACCTATTTTTGGGTAAAATTGCAACATTTCTAGAATCTCTCGCCTGACCTTAGTCCAGCTCCATATCAATCGGTGTTTCCAAGGGGTGGAGAGAAGCTGTTCTCTCCTTAGTCCATTTCTATATCAACAGGTGTTTATAAAGGGGAAGCAAGTGCGCTTTGGAATGGAGAGAAATGGGCAAGTGAGAGTAGCTGCAGGAAAGGGATGATCGGAGCCTCAATAAACCATAAATGGGTTTCTGTAAGTAATAAATGGGTTTCTCCCACTGTAGTTTTTCCCTTGACTGATTTTGGTTTCACTGGTTTATTCACCCCAGGCTGGGAACATGCTTCCCCCCCAGAGCTACATCTGGCAGTAGTTGGCAGGACCTTTGAACCTGAAATCTGTCTTCAGGGGTGTGATGCTTGGGTGGGCTGCCTAGAGATGGTGGGGAGACACCTGGAAAACCCCCTGTAAATGTTGTGGACCCCCTGTAGATGGTTCAGGTGGGGACTCCCCTGTGGATGATGCACCTTTGCCTGGGAACCCCCCCATCTGTGGGGATTCCACTCATGGAGCCCCTATTAGGGAATTGGTTTAGGGTAAAGCATCTCCTAGGTGAGTGGGTCCCGCCCCAGAATTGGGGAAAGGCGGAGACACTGACAGCTGTGGAATTAGCCCTCCATGAGGTAGGGGACTGCTTAGGGGGCCTGCGTGACTCTGTGGCGGCAGGAGTTGTGGGGTTGTTGTTTATCAAGGTATTGGACAGGGCTACCGAGGAGGGGGATGCCCTTCGGAGTTGCTTGGATGAGCTGGGTGATGAGCTATGGGATGCCCTTGAGAAAGAGAGACAGTTACTGAGAACGGAGATCATGCTGCTGAAAGACACACTGACAGCAAGGGAGGAGGAAGCAGGAGAATCCAAGCAAGGAGGCCATGGGGAAGGAAGAGGATGGAGCGTGCCTTCAGCCCCGAGATGGTAGAGGAGACATCAGGGTAGAATGAGGGGATGCAGCCTAGGGCAGAACTCTTGCTTGAGGCCACTACCTGAGGCACCAGCCCCTCCTGTATTAAAGGCCCACCTGGTTATAATTAAGAAAATTAAAAATGCAACAACCACAGGGTCCTCAGGGGAGGAGCTGCCCCCTCCCCAGGTTGTGGAGCACTCCATGCTCTGCCCCTACACCCAGGATGAGCTGGTGAACGTGAGTGTCCGGTATTGGCAGAAGCTGTCAGAACCTCTGCCTACATATCTTTTGTGTCTTCAGGATATGGGGGTGGAAAACATTATTATGTCGGGTTCTGAAATGGGTAGACTGGCTTCCCTGACGACTCACCCCTCCCTGTGGCAGTGGTTGCAAAATGCCTGTCACACCTCAGGAAATCTTGTGCTTCTGGATTGGCTGACAACAGCAGGGCAGTTTGATGTAATCAGGGTGATTTATCATACTTACCCACTAGCTGGAAAACGTATGCAGAGCTCCAACAGGTATTATGGGCATCAAAAACATCATCTATAATATGGACCTCCAGGGCCCCAATGAAGAGTCGTTCACTATGGAAATAAGAAATCTGGAGCTTCATATAGCTCCCCCATCTCTCTTTGGGTCCCTAGTGACATTCTTGCCCCTCATATAGGGCAACCCATAAGTGAGGCTACTTGTACTTTAGCAGATCTGGGGGAGGTTGAAGCAATAAGACCACAGAAGGAAGTACGGGCTATGACTGAAGGGAGAGGTGCAAAGGGCCCTGGGAAGGTCTTGAGGACCCAGATGTAGGTTGATTTGATAAAGGCAGGGGCAGTGAAAGAAAAACTTGATGGGCAGCCCAATGGAATCTTGTTAGAACAAGGCACCAATTAAAGCTGGAGCAGTGGTTTTAGCTGCTGAAATGAAAGATGCGGAAGCCAGAGACAAAGCCCCATGTCTGGCCTGTGTCCCTGCAGAACTTACTGGGGGAAAGTAACTCGGGCTCCATTTGGGCCCTCACCCCCACAGGAGGATGATTGGGCATTGCAGTTTGACTGAGGGAGGGGTTAAGGTCCCCACCTTGGGGGACATGGTGGGGACAGGAGACTACATGTAGAATTAGCAATTCATTGGTCCCCCGTGAGTGTACAATGTGTCCTGTCTCTGGTGGACACAGGAGCTGAATGTCCTCTGACTTATGGCAACCTTGAGTGTTGTCCCAGGACCTCTGCTGTGATTGAAGGCTATGGGGGTAAGGCAGTTAGAGTGAAGAGAGACCAAATCCCATTAGATAAAGGATGTTTGCCCCCAAAGGAGTATACTGTGTACATTTCTCCCATCCCTGAATATATTTTGGAGGTTGATATCCTGCAGGGCCTGTGGTTACAGACTGCTGCAAGTGAGTTCAGACTGAGGATACATGTGGTAAAGGCAGTTCTGATGGGACATGCTAAGCACCCGCCTGTAGTTTTGCCTGTACCTCGGCGGGTGACAAATTCTAAGCAATATAGATTGCTGGGGTAGGGCACAAGAAAGTTGTAGAAACTCTACTGGAGTTGGTGACGGTGGGCATCATAAAGCTCACTCATAGTCCTTTTAATACCCCAGTATGGCCAGTGAAAAAGCCAGATGGCTCCTGGTATAAGATTGTGGATTACAGGGAATTGAATAAAGTCGCACCCCCTTTCCATGCTGCTGTCCCCTCTGTAGCAGTCCTTATGGACACCCTCAGTCATGAACTAGATACATATCATTATGTTGTGGACCTTGGTAATGCTTTCTTCTCTAATGACATAGCACAGGAAAGTCAGGAATAGTTTGTTTTCATGTGGGAAGGCTGGCAGTGGACATTGAATGTCCTTCCACAGGAATATGTCCACAGTCCCACCACTTGTCATGGAATTGTAGCCCAGGACTTGGCCACATGGAAGAAACCACAAATGGTGCAGCTGTATCACTACATTGATGGCTCACATCTGATTCTCTTGAAGATTTAGAAGAGGCAGTTCCTAGACTGTTGCAACATCTACAGGAGAAAGGATGGGCTGTGAACAGTACCAGGGTTCAGGGACCTGGTTTGTCAGTAAAGTTCTTGGGGGTTGTCTGGTCGGGTAAAACTAAAGTTATCCCAGAAGTAGTTATGGGCAAAGTCCAGGCTTTCCCCACCCCTGCCACTGTGGCAGTATTACAAGAGGTTTTGGGTCTTTTGGGCTACTGGAGAGTGTTTATCCTGCACTTGGCACAAATTCTGAGGCCTTTATAAATTCATTGGTACAAAAGGGCATCAGGTGGGCCAGGGATGAAACATGTGAAGTGGCTTTTACTGCTGCTAAGCGAGCAGTCAAGGCCATACAGGTCTTGAGTGTAATGGACTCATCAAGGCTCTGTGAGCTAGATGTTTATGTAATCGAAGATGGTTATGGGGTTATGGATCGGGCCTTTGGCAGCGGCTTGAACAGACATGCCAGCCTAATGGATTCTGGTCACAACTATGGAAAGGAGCAGAGGTCTGGTCACCTTGACAGAGAAGCAACAGGCTGCTGTGTACCATGCCTTACTGGCTACGGAGCCTGTCACCAGAATAGCTCCACCAAGGTAATAACCACCTATCCCATTGAGGGATGGGTACCAGACTGGACCCAGAGGCCAAGGAGTGATGTAGCACAGATGTCTACACTGGCCAAATGGGGTGCGTATTTACAGCAGTGTAGCGCCCTCTCTACTAGCCCCTTTAGTGGAAAACTCCAATGCTTACTGGGGCCAGTGACATA